AGGGTTTGTGCGTGAGGGTGTGTGCAAGAGGGTGTGTATGCAAGCAGTGTGTGTGCATGGAAGGTTTGCATGGAGAGTATATGTGCACAGAGGGTGTGTGCATGAAGTGTGTGTGTGGAGGGTGTGTGTGTGGAGGGTGTGTGTGTATGTGTGTAGGGAGGGTGTGTGTGTGTGTGTGTGTGTGTGTGGTGTGTGGCTGCCAGGTCACAGGCTGTTCTGTGCTGCTTGCTGTGAGCTGCTTCCTTCCAGCCTCCAGCCCCTGGGGCCCAGCGGTGCTCAGGCAGCTGCGTGCACACAGCCCTGGAATCTGGAGCAGTGGAAAATGCTGGAATCACAGGCAGGCCGCTGACCAAGCTGACGGGCCCCCAAGAATTTCCAGCAGGATTCAATTTTGAGCTCCGGCCGCAGCACTGCACGTTCCTGAGCCGCCCAGGAGGTCCCAGCCAGTCAGTGCCACGTGGAAGGACGGCGGGTGTCTGTTCATGTGGAGGCCGCTCTGCTCTGTCCAGGCCACACCCTACCCTGCTCCGTGGGCCGCACCCCTGTCCCCCTACCCTGCTGTCCAGTGTGTCACACCCCTGGCCGGGCTCCTGCCAGTTCCGACTGTCCGACGAGAGGCCGTCCCTCCTGGAAGGCACCGAGCAGCTGCCTGTCCCTCAGCAGCCACGGAGCCGCGTGAGGCCAGTGACTGAGTCTGCAGCCCTGTAGCCCAGAGTACCCCCAGGGCTGTGCACAGGGTCCCTGGCACAGGGAACTACAGCTAGTCCACAGTCACCCCCTTAGCTCATCCTCACCAGTGTCCAGTGGAACCGGCAGGCAAGATTGTGTGTGTACGTGCATGGGCAAGCCTGTGTACATGGAGTGTGCATGTGCACAAGTGTGAGAGCGTGCATGTCCATGGCAGCATGTGCATGTGGGCTGGGAGTGTGCAGTACGTGGGAGGCTTGTGAGAACATGTGTGCTCTCAGTGGGGGTCGGAGTAGAGCTCTGGGGAGCTGTCCCCGCTGCACCCTGCCCTGCCAGCGGACGTGATGTGGCAGGGGGAGACTGAGACCAGGGCTGGAGGACACGACCGACTCTGCCCCATTGTATGCATGGCACTCACCATCCACACAGCTCTCGTGGCACGCATGGTACATGTTCCCAGCACGCACTCTGCATCCCCAGGCACCTCACCATGCCATCTGGCCTGTCCCTTCAGCTGACCCAGTGCTGGCCCCCATCACTCACCAGGTTGACCCATGCTGTGGTGTCCTGTGCCAACACCCAGTCCTGGCTGGCCCCTCAGAAGGCTCTTCCAGCTGAGATCTTTGCTGCCTTCTTGTGACCCCCAAGATGCCTCTTCCCTGAGTCCAACGTGATCTCATCACTGTGGCTTGAGAAGGTGGGTCCCACGTGATCACACTCCCTGTGGCTAAGGTGGGTCCCACGCGGTCACACTCCCTGCAGCCTGGGAAGGTGGGTCCCACGCGATCAGACAAAGCCAATGAACAAAATGCACATTTAACTCAAAGGCTGAAGAAGTAGGTGCCAGAGGGAAGGTGGAAGGGGGAGAGGCATGGGGTAGGCGCTTGAGGCAGCGGGACAACCAGCGGCTGCTTCCTGGGGCCCAGCGGCTGACTCCTTCCTGCTGCACAGACCCTTGCTCAGAACCACCAAATAGCTCTCAAGTTTCCAGCTTCCAGAGCTGCTCCTGGGATCAGGAGGCCCACAGACCGAGCACAGCAGTCTTGGGTGGGGGGGGGGGGGGGGGAGGCGGGCTGCCCTCTGGCTTTGGTGACAGCTCCAGGTCGAAGACTGCTGAGAAGCACTGGGTGGCTGGAGAGGGAGGAGAATCTCGCCTTATCCACAGTGGCGACTCACACAGTTCCTCGGTGGCCCATCGAAGAAGCTGTGCTAAAGTCACGTCAGCTGCGCAGCCGTGTTTAGGGATATCAGATCTGGGATGAAACGAACGAGTGACTGGAGGGCCCCATGGAGCTACCCCCTCACTGGCCTCACCCTTGCAGGGAGGACTGGACATAGGAGCTACTGGCCTCGGCTAACAAGGCGTGGGGCCCCGCCAACCTGGAACAGGCGCAGCTCTTGGCATGTGCCTGGGGCCGGGTGGCCTTGAGCCTGGAAGTCTGGTAAGTTCTGGTCTGGGCCTTCGGACCAGCTGCATACAGGACCACAGCTCCTGAGTCGAGCACTTTAGGGCATCTGGCAACTTGTGCCAACCCAGAGGCCATGCGGACGCGTGTGATCGCTGACTGTGCATTGCGAAAGCTCCTCTTGCTCACGGTGGGGATCGAGTTCATTTCTGCCCGCTGAATATTTGATCACCACTGGAATTTTCTGCCCTTTCTGGATGGAGGCTGGGTTCCCGGGCTCTTGGGCAAGCACAAGCTCTTCCTCCCCCCATCTGTTTCTCTCTCTCTCTCTCTCTCTCTCTCTCTCTCTCTCTCTCACACACACACACACACACACACACACACTCACTCACTCACACACTCGCACACATATGCCGGGTGGTGAGCACTCAGCCAGCTGGTAGGCACCAGTTCTTGGTGTCCATGCAAAGATTCCTGCCAGATGATACCAAGACACGTGGATCTCACTCATGGGTGGTGCTCTAGATCCAACGACCACCTGCCACCCCACTGTACAGCTATGATCCAAACCCAGCACCTCAGACACCAACCCAGCACCTCAGACACCGATCCAGAACTTCAGACATCGTTGCATCACCTCAGACACCAATCCAGCACCTCAGACACTGATCCAGCACCTCACACACTGATTCAGCACCTCAGACATCCCTCAGCAGAGCTGACATGGCCCCAGGCTTGCACCTGAAGGACAACTTTCAAATCCAGACCCCAAAGTCAGCCCCCTGACCTCTGAGACCTTGTGATCTCACACAGATGTGTGATGTCACAGTTCATATGACCTATTGTATATGTGATGCCACAGATCACGTGACCTCATGGATGCATGAGACCACAGATTACATGACCTCATGGGTGTGTGACACCATAGGTCACATAACCTCATAGGTGTGTGATGCAACATATCACATAACCTCATGGGTGTGTGGTGTCACGGGTCACATGACCTCATGGGTGTGTGAAACCATAGGTCACATGACCTCATGGATGTGTGAGACCACAGGTCACATGACCTCATGGGTGTGTGAAACCGCAGGTCACATGACCTCATGGGTGTGTGAAACCGCAGGTCACATGACCTCATGGATGTGTGTGATGCCAGAGGTCATATGACCTCATGGATCTATAATCCCATAGGTCATGTGACCCCAAGGTTCTGTGACCCCATAGGTCATATAACCTCACCCGGTCTGTGACCCCCCAAAGATCATCTGACCTACCAGGTCTGTGATCCCATAGGCCAAATGTGACCTCACGAGTGCTCTGTGCTCACGCTCGCCTTGCCTGGCCTTGCTGTCCTGCTCATGAGCCTCTCTGTGACCAGGGTGCGGGAGCCACATGGACTAGTGGGTGCAGACTGGCACGGAGGAGTCAGCCTTGGCGCCTCCCCAGCGACGTCCACGACCCGCCAGGAGCACCCCTGGGTCTCCCCAAGGCTCTGGCCAGAGGCAGCATCCCTGGGAAGCAGGGGTCTCGGGCTGGGACATGGCGGTGGGAGCCCAGCTCTCGGGGAAACCGGCCCGCACTGGAGCTCAGCACTTTCTCTCGGCCTCGGGAGCGCAGCCAGGCTTTTATTTATAGGCTCGATTTCCTGAAAGAAGCTGGGAAAGTCCTCCCAGCCTGTCTGGCTCCTCCCCTGCCGCCCTGCGGGGGGCAGGAGCAGGGGGGAGGGCCCTGTGCCAGCGCGGGGAGCAGAGGGGACGGAAGTGGTTCCTGGAGGAGGCCCGGAGTCGGCATCTGCTGGACGGTGCGCACGGAGGGGATATAAGGGCGCAGAGGCCCCTCGGCAGCTGCTTCCCAGCCGCCTCAGACGGAGCCGGACCAGGACACCCAGCTCCCGGCACTGCTCCCGGCCACCTTCCCGACCACGCGGCTTCCCTCTGGGTAAGAGCCGGGCAGAGGTTGGCGGGCTGCTCCTCTGGACAGGGACAGGGGACAGAGGATGGGACTGGCATGTGTCCCAGGATAAGCCAGAGCAGCAGGCGGCCGCCTGGGCTCTGTTGCTCAGAAGCTGCTGCCCGCAGGGGTGTGGGTGGCGGGCAGTCCGGGAAGCAGGGGCTGGGGCTCCGTGAACGTCGGGCCCTGCTGGAGCCTCCCAGCCCCCTGCTCAGAGATGCTCCTGCAGGAGGACGGGCTCCCTGGGCGGACAAGCTGACGTGGGGGTGAGCGGGACCCATGCAGCTCGGCGTGTCTGTGCATCTTGGTGTGTGTCCACACGTCTCGGTGTGTCTGTGTAGCTTGTGTCCACGCGTCTCAGTGTGTCTGTGCATCCTAGTATGTGTGCACTTATCTGGGTGTGCACCACGCGTCTTGGTGGGCCCACGCGTCTTGGTGTGTCCACGCCTCTCCATGTGTGTGCCGTGTGCCAGGTCCCAGGGCTCTGGCCCGTGAGCCCCACAGCTGCAAGTGGGCGCTGCCTGCTGGGCTGTCGGGCCCTACCCCACCTCGCGTCACTCGTGCTGGCCCACGGTGCCCTCGGTAGCAGTGCCCAGTGCCCCTGGCTACCGAGCAGGAAGCTCTGGCTCAGCTCAGGGTGCCTGCCGCCACCGGGCACTGCTGGACACGCGGGCGGGCTCCTGGAGGCTGTGCAGGGTTAAGCGCGATCGGCTCCCCACATCCTGGCCCCCGTCCCGCACCAGCCGGGCCGGCCAAAACCCCCAATGGAAAAACCGGCTGCAGGAAACCAGCAGATTGAACTCTCCGCTCGTCCTCAGCTGACGTCTGCTCTGGCCCCGGGGCTCACGCCGCTCTCTGCTGGTCCCCAGCGTGGCCAGTCGGGGGGCACCGCCATCCTTGAGAGGCCTGGGTGTGCGGGCAGGTGTCCTGACGCCCTGCTCCTCCACAGGCGCGTGGCGATGGCCTGGCCACTGCTGCTGCTGGTGCTGTGGACGCCCGGTGGGGCCCTTGGCCTGGGTGAGTGGGGCCAGGTGCCTCGGCGCTGGGCAGGGGCGAGGGTCGGCCCTGCATGCAGAACTGGGGAGTCCGGGCACCTCGTGGACGCGGAGCCGCTCCCCAGTCTCCCCGGGTCCCCTGCCAGCTGGCCGGGCTCCCTGTCCCCAGGGTCGGCGGCTGAGGGCTCCCAGGCTTGGCACCAGTTGTGCTTCAGGCTGCCCTGGGTCCTTCCACTGTCCACTGACCTGGAACCCTCCCGAGGGCCGCCTGGTGTGTGTCGTCTCCATGGCTTGGCGCAGCTCCAGAAGAAGCACACAGGCGGGGATGGGGGTGGGGGCCGGTTCCTCCGCCCTTGCAGACAGGCAGGGGGTGCGAGGAACAGCAGGGTCAGCAGGATGGGTGGGCTAAGGGGCATCAGATGCCAGGAGACACACTGGGGACAGGACGGGCCCTTCCAACAGGGTCACCCCTGGTGCCCTGGGCCTCCCCTCAGTCCTGTGCCCCCTCTCAGTCTCTGTGCCTCCCCCCTCAGTCTGTCCCTCCCCTCTCAGACTCTGCCTCCCCCTCAGTCTCTGTGCCTCCCCCCTCGGTGCCGTGCCTCCCCCCTCAGTGCCGTGTCCCCACTTGGCGCCCTGTAACACCCTCCTCGGCTCCCTTGGGCAGCTGGTGACCGGGACGAGGCCGCATCCTTCGACCTTTTCAGCATCAGCAACATCAACCGCAAGACGATCGGCGCCAAGCAGTTCCGGGGGCCAGAGCCTGGCGCGCCTGCGTACCGCTTTGTGCGGTTTGACTACATCCCACCCGTGAGCGCGGACGCCCTGGGCCAGCTGGCCGTGGCCATGCGGCAGAGGGACGGCTTCTTCCTGTCGGCCAACCTGCGGCAGGACAGCTCCTCGCGGGGCACGCTGCTGGCCCTCGAGGGCCCCGGGGCCGCCCAGAGGCAGTTCGAGATCATCTCCAACGGCCCCGAGGACAGGTTGGACCTCACCTACTGGCTCGAGGGCCGGCCACACCTCCTGTCCCTGGAGGACGTGGGCCTCGCCGATGGCCAGTGGAAGAACGTCACAGTGCAGGTGGCCGGGGAGGCCTTCAGCCTGTACGTGGGCTGCGACCTGATCGACAGCGTCCGGCTGGACCACCCCTTCTACGAGCAGTTGGCCACGGACAGGAGCAGGATGTACGTGGTGAAGGGCGCCAGCCGGGACAGCCACTTCAGGGTACGCGGGCTTGGGTCTCTCCGGGCACATGCGGGGGTCAGGGGGCACATGCTGTGTATGACAGGGGGAGGCACACCCCTGTCACAGGCCGTGTTGCCTGGAAGTCTTTCCCATCGGACCACACGAATGTACATGTCCCCCCCACACACACAGTCCACCGTGTGCACGCAGATGTACACACAAACGCACACATGCTCACAGGAATACACATGCACATGCACACAGGAGCACACTTATGCGTGCACAGATGCACACAGATGCACACCATACACACAGGAACCCACGTGCATTGCACAGAGGTGTACAGACAGATGCACACACAAGCTCTCCATGCAGAGATGTACACACAGATGCAACCACCACACATGACCCACATACCCAGATATGTGCACACAGATGATGCACACACAAATCCCCCACGCAGAGATGTACACAGTTGTACACATCACCCACATGCATGTGCACACACCATAGCACACTGTACATATACACATGCACACACAAACGTACACACAAACAGGCAGTGCATATAGCATGCACACACCCCACTTTCTGAAGCAGCCGCAAGCAGGTAGCCTGCAGTCAGCTTCTGACCTGCTGATCGAGGCTGATTCTTGGATGGCACGGCCTGAAGGACGGTCAGGCGGTGGGGATGGCCCCTGTTTGTCTGCGCCCCTCGTGCCTGCTGACCCGCTCACAAGCCCAGTCAGCACTCACGTGGCAGGCACTGGCCACGGCTCTGACTCCCTCAGAAAGGGCAGAGGCAGCCCCTGGCCAGGCTAACCTTTCTGGGTTGGCCCTGAGACCCTGGAGCACTGCTTTCAGAGTCTGTACCTGAGAGCTCGGGGAAGCTGGAGTCAGTCGTGGGGAGAGGACTCGCGGGGCTCAGTCTGAGTCATCCCAGCTTGTGATCCCCCTGCCGTCCACTCCTGCCAGAGCCCTCAACTGTCCAGACTTCTGGGAGCACTCCTGCTCCTCCTCCTCCTGCTCCTCCTGCTCCTCCCCTCCTCCTGATCCTCCTCCTCCTCCTGCTTCTCCTGTTCCTCGTCCTCCTCTTCCTCCTGCTCCTCCTGCTCCTCCTCCTGCTCCTCCTCCTCCTCCTGCTCCTCCTCCTCCTGTTCCTCCTCCTCCTCCTGCTCCTCCTCCTCCTGTTCCTCCTCCTCCTCTTCCACCTGCTCCTCCTGCTCCTCCTCCTCCTGTTCCTCCTCCTCCTCTTCCACCTGCTCCTCCTGCTCCTCCTCCTCCTGTTCCTCTTCCTCCTCTTCCACCTGCTCCTCCTCCTCCTCCTCCTGTTCCTCCTCCTCCTCTTCCACGTGCTCCTCCTGCTCTTCCTCCTCCTGATCCTGCTCCTCCTCCTCCTGCTCCTCCTCCTCCTGCTCCTCCTCCTGCTCCTCCTCCTGCTCCTCCTTCTGTTCCTCCTCCTCCTGCTCCTCCTCTTCCTGCTCCTGTTCCTCCTCCTCCTGCTCTTCCTCCTCCTGCTCCTCCTCCTCCTCCTGCTCCTCCTCTTCCTGCTCCTGTTCCTCCTCCTCCTTCGGTTCCTGCTCCTCCTGCTCCTCTTCCTCCTGCTCCTCCTCCTGCTCCTGTTCCTCCTTCTGCTCCTCCTCCTCCTGCTCCTCCTCCTGCTCCTCCTCCTGCTCCTCCTTCTGTTCCTCCTCCTCCTGCTCCTCCTCTTCCTGCTCCTGTTCCTCCTCCTCCTGCTCTTCCTCCTCCTGCTCCTCTTCCTCCTGCTCCTCCTCCTGCTCCTGTTCCTCCTCCTCCTGCTCCTCCTCCTCCTGCTCCTCCTCCTTCTCCTGCTCCTGCTCTTCCTGCTCCTGCTCTTCCTCCTCCTGCTCCTCCTCCTGCTCCTCCTCCTCTTGCTCCTGCTCCTCCTCCTCCTCCTCCTTCCCGTCCTTCTCATTCTCCTCCTTTTCTTCCTGCTCCTTTTCTTCTTCCTCTTCTTTCTCCTCTTCCTTCTTCATTCTTCTCAAAGGTTACTCCTGCAGTACTCGGGGGACCGTCTCTGTACAGGGTTGGCCCTGGTTGGCCCCACGCAAGGTCAGCGCCCTCCCTGCTGTGCTATGGCTCCAGCCCTCTCTTCTCCCCTGTTCTGTGCGAGTTCTTGGAAGGGGTCTCAGATAACCTGATGAAGTCAGGGCTTTGGGAGGGCGTGGCCGGAGGCCCTGCTGGGGTCTCCTCTGAAAGGCTCAAGCTGCTCTGTAGGAAGCACCAACAGGCGGTGCCACGCGCAAGCAGGCGAGGGGATGGTGTGTGCGGGGGGGATGGCACGTGTGCGGGGGGGGGGGGGCGGGGATGGCGCGTGTATGGGGGCATGGTGCGTGTGCAGGGAAAATGGTGCATGTGCATTGCAGGACGACAGTGCATGTGCGGGCAGGCGAGGGCAGTGTTGCATGTGTGTTGCAGGGATGACAGTTATGTGTGTTGCAGGACGACAGTGTGTGTTGTTGCAGGGCTTGCTGCAGAACGTCTATGTGGTGTTCGAGAACTCCGTGGAAGAGGTGCTGAGCAGGAAAGGCTGCCTGCAGGGCCAGGGAGGTAGGTGTGCGGTTGGGGGGGCAGGTTGCTGAGCCCATCCTGCAGACTCAGCCACCGCACGGGCTCTCCCTCACCAGGTGACCTCTGACCTTGTCTGGGAGGGTTCTTCGTGGCCTGGTGCAGGGGCTTCGTGTGAGCACTGGCCAGTCTGTAGCTCTGAAGGACCCGGACCAGCCAGGCTAACCGCGCGGCACCTGGTCCAAGGACACCACGGCTTCGGTCGGGCTGACTTGGGAAGTTCTTCCACAGAGCTCAGGGCTGTCACGGCTGCCCCAGGGAAGCCCCGGGGGCCATGGGACCCCAGACGCCTCTGTTCGCACTTGAGTTCTCTGTACCAGCACCTCGTCTGCTGGGAGCTTGTGAGGCTCCTCTTCTGGGCTCAGGGGAGGCTGTGCCAGGCCTGCCCTGCCCACCCCCTTCTCTTCCTCAGAAACAGCCCACGACACCTGGGGCGTGCAGGGCGCTGACCACTACCTGGGGAGCACCTGGGGACAGCGGGGTCAGGAGCCCTCCATGAGGGCCCCTCCTTCCCAGGACTAGGTTCACAAAGGCCCCAGGGTGCGGGGTGTCCATGGGCCATTTCTGAGCCCGCTAGCTGCTCTGCCAGTGGGCCCCTGCAACCAGGCCGCCTGTGACTTGGGGATGGACTGTCGGGGACGGGCTGTGCGGGGAGGTCATGGGCCCCGACCCCTCCCGCTCGCCAAGTGGGCTGGAGGGCGCCCAGCTATCCTCCCGGCTCAGCCGCAGCTGTGGCCACTTACTGTCCCCTGTCCCGCAGCAGAAGCCAACGCCATCCGAGAGGACACGCAAACGCTCTACCTGGGCCCCCAGCTCCCGCCCACAGCCCTGGGCCGCGTGCAGCTGCAGTCCGGGGTGTGCGGACACTCATGCGAGGAGCTGGGCGGCCTGCTGCAGGAGCTGGCCCAGCTGCGCGGCGTGGTGGCACGCATGCAGGACCGCCTACAGGCCGTGGTGCGTGCGGGCGGGCGGGACCCGAGGGCAGCGTGCAGGGCGCCCTGAGAGCCAGGCAGGAGGCCAGACAAGGCCACGTGGGGGAGCACTCGGGGAGCACACAGGAGCACATGGAGAACACACAGGGAGTACACGGGGAGCACACGAGAGCACACGGGAGCACATGGGAAGCACATGGGAGCACACAGGGAGCACTCCCCACCTCAGGACCCCAGGCTGGAGGATTTCCCCACCTTGGTACTCCAGTTAGTCTCCCCCTCAGGAGCCCTGGCTACCCTGGGTTAGGGCTTCCCCACCTCGGGACCCCAGGCTAGAGGTTTTGCTCACCTCATGGCCCCCAGAATCGAGGATTTGCCCCGTGGGGCGACCCGGCGCTCCTGCAGATTCTGACCCAGGCCCCGTGGCCACAGGTGCCTGTGTCCGACCCCCTGTCGGGGCAGACTTCAGTTCTGGGGTCATGGGTGTGGGCAGCTGTCCTGAGAGGCTGCATGGCCCCCAGAGCCCAGCCCAGGCAGTCATGGGAGAAATACTCCAGGGCGTGGGCCAGGCGGCCTGGGGGTCTGCAGCCGCGCCAGCCCCTCAGCGGGCCCTCTCTGTCCGCACGCTGCTGCCCTGGCCCCGGCTCACCGCCCTCTGCCCCGCAGTCCAGCGAGAACCAGCTCTTCCTGGAGATGATCGGGGGCCCCCACAGGACCCGGAATGCGTCTGGCTGCCTGCAGGACGGCCGCTTCTACGGAGAGAACGACACGTGGGTGGTGGACCGCTGCACGACGTGCACTTGCAGGGTGAGGCCCGGGCGGAGCCCGTCTGCCCGTGGTAAGCCCGTGGGTGCCCACAGGGCTGGGCCGGTGCCGTGGGTGCTCGTGCCCAGTGCTCGCCTCCCGCCAGCAGATCTCTCTCCCCGCAGAGTCTCAGGACCATCTGCCACCAGATCACCTGCCCGCCGGCCACCTGTGCCAGCCCATCCCTGCAGGATGGAGAGTGTTGCCCCTCCTGTGACCACGGTGAGTGCCCACCGGTTTCTGCTGTGTGTGGAGGGAGCGTGTGGGTGTGTCGGTGTGAGAGCGTGTCAGTGCGTGTCAGTGTGAGCGTGTTGGTGTGTGTCGGTGTGTGTGTCTATGTGAGTGTATATGAGCGTGTCAGTGTGTGTCGGTGTGATTGTGTCAGTGTGTGTCGGTGTGTGAGTGTATGCGAGTCTGTCTGAGTGCATGTGAGCCAGAGCATGTGTGTGAGCATGTGTATGTGTGTGACTGAGCAATGTGTGTGTATGTGAGTTGACGTGTTTCTGCAAGTGTGAGTGCTTATATGTGTATGAGTGTTGCGTGTGCATTGTGGGAGTGTGTACGTGTATGTGTGAGTGCAAGTGTATGAGTGTATGGAGCGTGTGTGTGTCTGTCCTGGGGTAAGCCTGCGCCCGTGTGCCCGTGTGGCTGGTCCCAGTCCCGTGGGCCACCGCCCCCTCCCGCCCTCCCCAGCCCTGGTTCTGGTGCCCTGACGCGAGAGTGCCCAGCCCTCCCTCCTGCCCGGCCCGACCGGTGACGGCCTCTGTCCGCAGTGGTCAGCGAGGAGGGCTGGTCGCCGTGGGCTGAGTGGACCGAGTGCTCGGTCACCTGCGGGTCGGGCACGCAGCAGCGAGGCCGCTCCTGCGATGTGACACTCAGCGCGTGCCGAGGGCCGTCCATCCAGACGCGCGGCTGCAGCCCGGGCCAGTGCGACCCCCGCGGTGAGTGCCTGAGGGGGGCGGCGGGGCGGGCCGCCCAGTGGGCAGTGCCCTGATAGCCCACTGCCCTGTGCAGTCCGGCAGGATGGCGGCTGGAGCCACTGGTCCCCCTGGTCGTCCTGCTCGGCCACCTGCGGCGTCGGCGTGGTCACCCGCATTCGGCTCTGCAACTCCCCCCTGCCTCAGCTGGGCGGCCAGCCCTGCCGGGGCGGGGGCCGTGAGACACAGGCCTGCGAGGGCCGCCCCTGCCCAGGTGAGTGGACGCCCGGGAGGGACGGGGGTGCTGGGGGGCACCACTGCCCACTTGCCGCCCGGCCCTCCCAGTCGGAGCTCCTAGGGTCCAGAGCAGGGTCTGGACACTCCATGTGGACACTCACGCGGGGCAGCGCAGCCCAGGCCTCGTGCGTCCACGCCGGGCTGGGACTGCCTGTGTGTGTCCACTGGGTGCTGGGCTGCCCACGCTGGGCTCCGGCCTGTGTGTGTGCACGTGGTGTCCTGTGGCCCCTCCCTGCCAGGTGTCCCTGCTGGGCCCTGCTGCCCCTGCCCGTGGCTCTGGGCCAGCCGCAGCTGACCAGTGCCCGTAGTTGCCTGCCTGTCCCGACAGCCCGTCTCAGTCCCAGCCCCAGACCCTGGCATCCTCGCCCGCTGCTGTCCCTCGGGCTCTGGACTCTGGCCAGGCCCCTTTCTGGGCTCCCCCACCGCCCCCCACTGTCCCGCGTGCCCAGCCTGTGCTCTTTGCAGTCGACGGCCGCTGGAGTCCCTGGTCCCCGTGGTCGGCCTGCTCGGTCACCTGTGCAGGTGGCCTCCGGGAGCGCACACGTGTGTGCAACAGCCCCGAGCCACAGCACGGAGGGAAGGACTGTGCCGGAGACCCACAGCAGCACCAGATGTGCAGCAAGAGACGCTGCCCAATAGGTGGGCGGGGAGGGGAAGGGAGGGGAGGGTGGGGAGGAGTGGGGGGGAGGTGTGGGCTGGGGGGCTGGGCCTGAGGCTGCAATGGGTGGGCGGTGGTGGTGTGTGCAGTGGTGGGCACGTGGGGTGGACAGTCGCCTCGATGACCCTGACCCCCACATGCCCGCCCCCACCCGGGGGAACTGACCGCGGCCCCACCGCCTCCCTCCGTGGTGGCCAGGCCCCTGACCGTCCCTCCGTCTGTCCACAGATGGCTGCTTGTCCAACCCCTGCTTCCCTGGAGCCCAGTGCAACAGCTTCCCGGATGGCTCCTGGTCCTGCGGCTCCTGCCCACCGGGCTTCCTGGGCAATGGCTCCTTCTGTGAGGACCTGGACGAGGTGGGTGCCGCCGGTTGGGGGGTGGGGGGGGTGGGGAGAGGTGGCCAGGGCTCACAGCATCTGTCCGTCTGTCTGTCTGTCCGCAGTGCGCCGTGGTCGCCGACCTCTGCTTCACCACCGGCAGCAGCCGCTGCGTCAACACCCAGCCCGGCTTCCACTGCCTGCCCTGCCCACCCCGTTACCGCGGCAACCAGCCCTTTGGGGCCGGCCTGGAGTCGGCCCAGACGGAGAAGCAGGTGAAGGGGCAGAGCTGGCCAGGGGCCTCGGGCGCCCGCACTGTCTGTGGCCAGGCCCAGAGGGGCCCAGGGCAGGGCCAACCCGTGCATCCTGCTGCCCTAACCCCTGCATGGCCAGAGGCATGAACGGCACCCCTTCATCCCTGGTGCCCCAGAGCACCCGGCACCCCGCACCCCTGCACCCCTGGTACCCCAGAGCACCTGGTACCCCATACCCCTGCACCCCTGGTACTCCGAAGCACCCGGCACCCCTGCACCCCTATATCCCCCAGAGCACCCAGCACCCCACATCCCTGCACCCCTACATCCCCCAGAACACCTTGTACCCCATGCCCCTGCACCCCCAGAGCACCCGTCCCCCTGCACCCCTGCACACCTACATCCCCCAGAGCACCCCGCACCCTGCACCCCTGCACTTCTACATCCCCCAGAGCACCCAGCACCCCACACCCCTGCACCCCCAGAACACCCGCCCCCTGCCCCTGCATCCCTCCAGGGCACCCGCACCCCTGCACCCCTGCACCCTTGAGCCCCAGGGCACAGGCCCACCCTCCCCACCAGCACCCACACCCACCCTTCTCGGCTGCCCCTGCCGGCAGGTGTGTGAGCCCGAGAACCCCTGCCGGGACGAGACGCACACCTGCCATCCACACGCAGACTGCATCTACCTGGGCCACTTCAGCGAGCCCATGTACAAGTGCGAGTGCAGCACGGGCTACGCGGGCGACGGGGCGCTCTGCGGGGAGGACTCGGACCTGGACGGCTGGCCCAACCGCAGCCTGCCCTGCGCCAGCAACGCCTCGGCACACTGCGTGCAGGTGGGCCCTGCCAGGGGGGCCCCTCCCCCACCCTGCTCCTCCCAGCCCGAGGGGAGGCTCACCGCCCTCCTCTGCCGCAGGACAACTGCCCCCGGCTGCCCAACTCCGGGCAAGAGGACTTTGACCTGGACGGCGTGGGCGACGCCTGTGACGAGGACGATGACAACGACGGCGTGACCGACGAGCAGGTGCGGGGGCCGGGGGTGGGGACAGGTGCAGGCACGGCTGGGGCGCGGGACCGGGGAGGGCTGGTCCCGGGGTGCTGGGGTGGGCAGGGGGATCTGCCCGGCTCCTCTCCCACCTCCCCATGGACTCTCCCGGGGGTGCCGCGGGCAGCCCAGGCACCTGGCTGTCCCTGCACACCTGTGCCCGCCGGCTGCCCAGTCCCGGGCGGTCCTGGGACCCGCTCCCCTGAGGCCTCCTCTCCACTCTTGCTCTTGGCAGGACAACTGCCCGCTGCTGTTCAACCCTCGCCAGCTCGACTACGACAAGGACGAGGTTGGGGACCGCTGTGACAACTGTCCCTACGTGCACAACCCCGCCCAGATCGACACGGACCACAACGGGGAGGGGGACGCCTGCTCGGTGGACATCGATGGGGACGGTCAGTGCCCCTCAGCAGTGCCCGGGGCTGCCGTGGGCGTGTTCCAGCCCAGGCCGGCCTGTGCGGTGGCCCCCTATGCCGTGCAGGCCTCCAGGGTTCCCTGCCCACCTCTAGACCCCTGGACTGCCACTGCCCCCCGCCCCGGGGAGCGTCCAGGCTCCTGCCTGGCTCAGTGTGAGGCCGAGGCTGCCCTGCACCCACCGACCTGCACGTGCGGAGGCCCCAGGGCCCAGGCTCCGGGCAGCACAGGGCAGGGTGCAGGGCCCCAGGCTGAGGACCCTCGCTGCCACCCCCGTGCCCAGCTCCAGCTCTCTGCCGACCCTCCCGCTGCCCTTCACGGGCCCAGTCCCAGCTCCACCTCAGGCAGGGCTGCCCAGGCCTCTGCACGCTCTGCTCTCTGCTCTGGCTTGTGTCCATCCTGGGTGTCCATCCTAGGCCCCTGGGGCTACCCCCACCTCTCAGGTGGCTCCACTATTCCTCAGCCCATCATGGGGTCTGGGTCACATCATGCAGGACACAAGTCTTAGCCAGCCCTGTCCATCTTGCATCCAGCACAGGCCACGCCCAGCCCTGTGTCCATCCCTGGAGTCCACTTCAGGACATGTCTAGCCCTATGTCCATCCCAGGTGCCCACTGCAGGCCACGCCCAGCCCTGTGTCCATTCCAGGCATCCACTCCAGGACATGCCCAGCCCTATGTTCATCCCGGGTGTCCACTTCAGGACACACCCAGCTCTGTGTCCATCCCGGGTGTCCACTGCAGGACATGCCCAGCCCCGTCCATCCCAGCTTCCAGCACAGGCCACACCCAGCTCTGTGTCCATCGTGAATGGGACCGCTCTTCTCGTTCTGCCAGCGGGCCTCTCGCTTCTCCCCCACCTCGCGGAGGGGCGGGGCGTTCAGGGGTGCGGACCCTGGCCCGATCCCGTTCTTGCCGCTCTCCTGCTTGGTGCACAGGGAGTGGGCTTTTCGGGGTCGTCTGACATGGTGGACAACCCTCGCTCTGTTGGGACCGTCCCAGGACATGCCCAGCTCTGTGTCCGTCTGGTGTCTGCTGTAGGACATGCCCAGCCCTGTGTCCATCCTAGGCATCCAGTGCAGGACACGTCCAGCCCTGTGTCCATCCCAGTGTCCACTTCAGGACATGCCCAGCTCTGTGTCCATCTGGTGTCCACTACAGGCCATGCTGTGGAAGCAGGGGCTCTGGGCTCCGTGCTGCCTGGGGGCAGCCTGGGTTGCTGTGAGCTCCGGGGCACCAAGGCCCCAGGTGGCACCTTTCTGGAAGTCTCAGTGTAGGTGACTGAGGGTATCCCTGAGCCCACGGCAGGGATGACTCAGAGTATGTCAGGGCCTTTCTCGTTTCCCACAGACGTCTTCAATGAGCGTGACAACTGCCCCTATGTGTACAACACTGATCAGCGGGACACGGATGGTGATGGCGTGGGTGATCATTGTGACAACTGCCCACTAGTGCCCAACCCTGACCAGGTGTGCGGGGGGGGTCACCTCCAGGTGTGTGGGTCACCTCCAGGTGTGTGGGTCATCTCCAGGTGTACAGGGGGGTCATCTCCAGGTGTGTGGGTCACCTCTAGGTGTGTAGGTCATCTCCAGATGTGCAGGGGAAGTCACCTCCAGGTGTGTGGGTCACCTCCCCACTGTGCGGGTCATCTTCAGGTGTGCAGGGGGTCACCTCCACATGTGGGGTCAACTCCATGTGTGTGGGATCACCTCCAGGTGCGTGGGGTGCTCACCTCCTGTCCTGTCCCTTGCTCTGGCCTGGGCCCTCATGCTCGTGGGGTGTGTCCACTCGTGTGACACCGGCTGGGCGTGTCCCACAGACCGACGTGGACAACGACTTGGTGGGAGACCGCTGTGACAACAACGAGGACATCGACGAGGACGGGCACCAGAACAACCAGGACAACTGCCCCTATATCCCCAACGCCAGCCAGGCTGACCACGACCAGGATGGCCGCGGGGACGCCTGCGACCCCGATGACGACAACGACGGCGTCCCCGATGACAGGGACAACTGCCGCCTGGTGCCCAACCCACTGCAGGAGGATGCGGATGGTAGGGCCGGGGGGCCTCGGGCACCAATGCACCCCCACAGCCCACAGAGGGGGAGTTCCGACATGCACCCCACACGGTACACGGAGACAGGTCCCCAACACGCATCCCCCACGGCAGGTGCAGGCAGGGTCCCTGGACGTGTGTCCCCCAGCATGGGGGTGGGTCCCTGGATGGCCCCACGCAGAGCCTGGAGCCCCTGCTTAGCACAATGGAATGGAGCGCAAGGCGGCTGTCCTGGCACCAGGCAGCCCAGTCCCGGGGTAAGGTTCTGGAGCCGTGCTCTTGACCTCTCCTGAGTCTCTTCCTGCCTGCAGGGGACGGGCGTGGGGACATCTGCAAGGACGACTTCGACAATGACACCGTCCCAGACATCGACGACGTGTGTCCCGAGAACAGCGCCATCAGTGAGACGGACTTCCGGAACTTCCAGATGGTGCCCCTGGACCCCAAGGGCACCACCCAGATAGACCCGACGTGGGTGATACGCCACCAGGGCAAGGAGCTGGTGCAGACGGCCAACTCAGACCCTGGCATCGCTGTGGGTGAGCCTGGGCGGCCCTGCCTGGGGCCTGCGCACGGGCTGCCTCCTTCCCTGGGCATGGGCGGGCCACCTCCTCCCCCGGGCGTGGGGTGGGCTGCCCCTGGCCTGTACCAGCGGGGACCTCTGGTGCCATGGCCCCAGGCTTCGACGAGTTCGGGTCGGTGGACTTCAGCGGCACCTTCTACGTGAACACGGAGCGTGATGACGACTACGCCGGCTTCGTGTTTGGCTACCAGTCCAGCAGCCGCTTCTACGTGGTCATGTGGAAGCAGGTGACACAGACCTACTGGGAGGACAAGCCCACACACGCCTACGGCTACTCGGGCGTGTCCCTCAAGGTGGTCAACTCCACCACGGGCACCGGGGAGCACCTGCGCAACGCACTATGGCACACAGGGAACACGGAGGGACAGGTGAGCGTGGTGGGGCGGGGAGCATGGAGGAACGAGGAGTACAGATGGATGGGGAGCACCGAGGGGTGGGGAGCACAGGGATAGGGGGCATGAAGGGATGGGGACCACTGAGGGATGGGGATTACAGGGGACGGGGAGCACGGAGGGATGGAGAGTATGTGTGAATGGGGAGCACTGAGGGGGTGGGGAGCACCGAGGGGGTGGGGAGCACAGGGATGGGAGACCCCATTGGGGGCAGGGGAGCAGCAGAACAGGGAGTTCGGAGGACACTGAGTGTATCCGGCCCTGGCTGGACCGGGATCCCCCAGACTCCTGTCCCGGGTGGGGGGCAGGCCCAGGCTCATGGCGAAGCCCCCCCCAGGTCCGCACCTTGTGGCACGACCCCAAGAACATCGGCTGGAAGGACTACACTGCCTACAGGTGGCACCTGACCCACCGGCCCAAGACAGGCCTCATGAGGTGAGTCGGCTGGCACCCGCGGGCACAGGTCTTCCCGCCCCGGGGGCTCGGGGCCCAGGGTGGGCGGGAGTGGGCTGCAGGGCTTCGGTGTGTCCTTCCTGAGCAGGGTCCTGGTGCATGAGGGCAAGCAGGTGATGGCCGACTCGGGGCCCATCTACGACCAGACCTATGCCGGCGGCCGCCTGGGCCTCTTCGTCTTCTCCCAGGAGATGGTTTACTTCTCGGACCTCAAGTACGAGTGCAGAGGTAGGGCCTGATGGCGGCGGCCGCAGTGCGGGCAGGGGCAGACGTGGACACTGGGAGGGGGTTGTCCAAGCTTGGATCCTCTCACCGGGGTCGGTCAGTCGTCCCCCCGATGCCCACGTGGCATGGATGCCCCTCCCCTGCCCTCCCCTCTGCCTCCTCCCCTCCCCCCTCCTCCCCACTCCCTCCCTCGTCCCTCCTCCTTCTTCTTCCCTCATCCCTCCTTCCCTATCCCCTCCCCTATCCTCCGTCCCTCCTGCCCTCGTTCCTGCCCTCTGTCCCCCTGCATCTCTCCCTGCGCCCCTCCCTCCCTCCCCCATGGGTCCCCCGCCGGGTGCCAGCAGCCTCTGCAGGCTGGGACGCCCGTGGGTGTGGGTGCTGCTCACTCTGTGCTCGCCGGCAGATGCTTGAATGGACGGCAGATCCCGGACGTGCTGTCGGCACCCGCTTCTCCGTCCTTGACCTACACTGAGTGGCCGGTCACCTGGGTCAGCCTGGCCAGGAGCCACCAGGAGTGAAGACGGCCGCGGCTGCTGCGAGGGTCAGAGGGCACAGCGCGGGCCCCTCCCCCGGCCCCACCAGGACCTTGTGGCACAGGGACGGCACGAGCACTGAGGGCTGGACGTGTGTCCGACACCCACGGCCGGAGGCCAGCACCAGGGCCCGGCAGGATGCAGGATGCCCGGCCGCAGGGGGCAGGGGCCCACTCTGCTCAGGTGCAAGGCGGCTCATTAAAGAGGGATTCTGGACAGGCCGCCCGAGGGCCAGGTCAGCCGAGGGTGGCAGCTCTGTGCTGCCCGTGGACGGCCCGGCCCGGCCCCTGCCCCGACGGTGGCTCCCGCCCAGTTGGACTGTTCCATCGGGCTCTGGCAGAAACGTCTCGGTATATTTATTAAATGGCTAGAGAACACGTTCTGGTAGCCTGTGACTGGTTCTGATTACTGCCCAGCGGCCAGCACAGAGTTCAGGGGAGAGCGGTGGCCACAGTGGCCTCGGTCAGTGGCCGGGGCCGGATGTGCAGGTCCCGTCTTGGCGGGGCTCAGGGACCCGACTGGGCTCCAGGCAGCCAGTGTGCGGCTCAAGCCTGCGAGTGCCTGCCTGCCCACTCATCAGCAGGCCCCTCCTGGGGTGCTGCTCCCGTGTGGACGCCTCCCTGTGAATCCCCGGGGTCCCCAGCAGGTCCCTTGGGTCCCTGCACCCTTGCTGACTCTGGGGTGGGGGACCCAGGCTCGTGGGCCTGGACAGGTAGACAGGGCACCCCAGTTCCTGGTACCCAAAGGCCCTGGAGCCCAGGGTCACTCGCCCAGATGTGCTGGGAACTCAGGGACACAGTTTCGGGGCTCTGGCTCCATTAAGTGGGGCCTGAGTTACCAGCCCTGCCCTTGGGCCCTCTTGTCCCGGGGTGAGTGGCTCAGGATTTCGCAAAGGGCAGGTGGGGTCAACTGGGGGTGGTCAGAGGGAGCGGGGTTGGCCTGAGCACGGCCTCAGCCTCTTGCTCTCCCTCCACTGGCCACACTGATGGGTTCTGAGGAGACCACACAGCTGGACCGAGCTCCCGGAGCTCCTGGAACTGCTGCGCACAGACCCGGCCTGCGCCACGGCCCGAGGCCCAGGGGGTGCAGCGCAGAGAGAGCTGCCCCACGCCCCAGAGCCCGCCTGCTGCCCGCACGCCCGCCTGACACGCAGCTGAGGGGAGCACCCGCGGGGGCTGCCTCTGAGCCCACTGGGAGCATATGAGAGGGAGGACACGGGTTGCCTCTGAGGGATGAGGGAGGAGCCAGGTCACCTCAGGGGTCACCTCTGAGGGATGGGGGAGGACCCAGGACGCCTCTGAGGGGTGGGGGAGGAGCCAGAACGCCTCTGAAGGGTGGGGGAGGAGTCGTGTCACCTCAGGGGTCACCTCTCAGGGATGAAAAAGACCCCAGGTCACCTCTGAGCCCACCAAGCATGTGTGAGAGGACCCAGGCCTTTGCCTGTGGGAATTCGCAGGATCTGGGCACAGGTTGTTTGTACCAGCGCTGCGTCACCCTCAGAAGCTTTCCTGTCAGCCCTGAGCAGCCAGAGAGGAGAGTGCTGAGGAGAGAGCAGGGCACGGCCAGGAAGCGGGGAGGGCCGGTCACAGGGGTCTCCGGCTGGCCCCAGGCAGAGGCGCCTCTGCCTCCTTCCATCGACTGACTCGGGATAAAGGAAGAAAAATCCAGGCCTGATGCGGTGCCCAGCGCAGGGCCCACGAGGGGTGAAGGTCAGAGAGCCGTCCGGCCTCCACTGGCCATTCATCTCAGCCGCCCACCAGCCCTGCGGCTCTGAGCGCCACCCAGTGGGGCGAGGGCCCACCACATGCCCACTGCGGGACCCAGGCCGGGAGCCCTCAGCTCTGGCACCCGCCAGCTGTGCTAGGCAGTGGCGCGAAGAGGCTCCTGCAGTTCAGCTGCCCACAGGCCCACCCCCAGCCCTCTCCTGTACAGGTGTGTTAGCATGTAAGTGTGTGAGAGCATGTATGTATAGGTGTTAGTGTGCGTGCCAGTGTGAGTGTGAGAGTATGGATGTGTGTATGCATATGTGTGTGTGTGTGTGTGTGTGTGTGTGTGTGTGTATGAAGGGCCAAGCACAGACGGGGAACCCTCCTTCCTCGGGGACCAGCAGAACTGCCTGAGTAGACAGACCCAGTTCTGGGGCGGAGTTGAGACGGGACTGAGCGTGGGGGCGGGGCTAGAAAGGGGCAGGGCTGAGAGCGGGGCGGGGCTAGAAGAGGGGCGGGGCTAACAGGGGGCGTGGTTGGCAACCGCCTGGCTGGCAGCAGAGGGGCTGAGACTGGGGGGGCGGGACTGACAGCAGGGCGGGGCTGGCAGCTGGGCGGGACTGAGAGTGGGGGCGGGCCAGCAGAGGGAGCCGGGCTAAAGTAGGGGGCGAGGCCGGTATTGGGGGGGAGGCTGGTATTGGGGGCGGGGCCAGTATTAGGGGCGGGGCTAGCAGCAGGGAGAGGCTGAGAGTGGGAACGGGGCTAACAGAGGGGCAGAGCTAAATAGGGGGCGGGGCTGGAAGATGGGCGGGGCTGAGAATGGGGGCGGGGCCAGATGGGGCGGAGCTAACGTAGGGGCGGGGCCGGGCTGAGAGTGGGGCGGGGCCAGAAGAGGGGCGGGACTGAGAGTGGGGGCGGGCCAGCAGAGGGAGCCGGGCTAAAGTAGGGGGCGAGGCCGGTATTGGGGGGGAGGCTGGTATTGGGGGCGGGGCCAGATGGGGCGGAGCTAACGTAGGGGCGGGGCCGGGGCGGGGCGGGGCCAGAAGAGGGGCAGGGCTGAGCGTGGGGCGGGGCCAGAAGAGGGGCGGGGCTGAGAGTGGGGGCGGGGCCAGCAGCTGGGTTCCCGATTGACAGGTGCAGAGAAAGCAGAGTGCGGCTGAGGCGGAGATGGGCCCGGGGCGGGGGCCTTGGGGTGCAACGTCCTGCTGGTCTCGGGGGCCTGGCAGTGGCGGTGTGGGGCGTGCAGAACTGTGCCCGCGGCGCCCCTTTCGGGTCCCCGGGGAGCCGGCTCGGCCCTCCCGCCCCACCCCGAGCCCCGCGCGAGTGGCGCCGACACGCCGTGGGTCCCTCCTGCAAGGGTCCTGCGGCCTCTGTGCTGCCCGCAGCACCCAGGGAGGGTCGGGGGGCAGCCGAAGCCTCGTCTGCGGGCCTCGCCCCCGCAGCCGGCCCTGCCACGTCTCCCTCCTCCCTGGCGCTGGCCCAAGCTGTGGGAATCCGACAGTGTGGACTCTGACTCAGTGTTTTTCAGGAATCGCCAGCTGAGAACCCAGTGTGGGAGATGTTTATTTTTTCTTTAAAAACGGAAAGAAATGGAAGCAAGAAGGCAGAGGAACCTGCCGCCGGCACAGCCTCTGGCCTGGGTGCTCGGAGGTGACCAGTCTTGCCTCTCCCTGGGCACTGACCACCCCAGCCCCTCTTCCCGTGGTCCCTCCCGCCCAGTGTGCCTGCTGCCCTCGGCCAGCGGTGAGAGGAGCCCATGTGGAGCCGGAGCTGAGGCTGAGTGGCTGTGGGGACAATCTCTGTGCTCGTGTGGCCTCACGGACAGGGGACAGGGTCCCTGCCCCACCAGAAGCCCAACATTGGGTGCAGGTGAACGTCCTGCAGACCCCACCTCCTGCAGGAGCTGGCAGGCGGACCAGGCCCCAGCCCAGGGACTGGACGCCCCTTCCCCGAGGCCACAGCTGGCCGAGGGTCAAGCAGGTAGACGACTCCACAGAGGCTCCGCATAGGACCAGTCCTAACTCTGGAAGGGAAACCTGAGAAAGGAGGAGGAGGAGTGTTTCCACAGGAAGTCAGGACAGAGGCTGCCCCAGAGGGCGGAGAAGAACACAGCTGCAGGGACCCAGGGGCAGGAGGGGGCGGGCACGGACGGGAAGGGGGTGACAGGCCTCAGGTCCCACAGAAGACAGAGACGGAAGGGGACAAGGGTGGGAACCCAGTCACGGGACTTCAGAAAGTGTTGAGTCCCCAGTTTGCCAGATGGAGGGGCTGCCCGAGGATTGCTGACAGACCCTGTCAGCAATGGGGGAGTCTGCACTGGAGACCACCAGGCCACTGGTGAGACGACACAGAGAGGGTTCAGGCCAATGACCTGTCAGAGCCGAGCTTAGCACAGTCACAACCGGAGGCGAGAATGGGGCCCTGAGTGGCCACACTCGGACACCCAGAACGGGCTGTATGCTCACACTTGGACATGGAGAACCAGGACTTTGCACGCTCACACCTCACAAGGGTTCCCCAGCCACCCCCTGGCCATGCTTTCCTAAGGGACGTTCCTCACTGCCCCCCAAGTTGGCCTTTAGCGTGTGGCCGGGCAGCTCACGTCCCCATGTCTGTCTGTGCTGAGTCCTTCCTGTCTTCCAGGAGGCAGCCAGGGGAGCTGAAGGACTTGTCCCCTTCCCAGCGAGCTGGCCTTTGTTCCTGCCACCTTGCTTCTGGGTGACCAGGACGCAGGGCCCACCGTCCTGCCCTGTGCAGGCTGCCCACCGTGAGACTGTGTCGGAAGCAGCTGCTGGGCTGGGACATGTCTGCAGTCTGGTCACGAGCAGCTTTCCTCTCCAAGTGATGTTGCAGAGACACAGATAGGGTTGGAGCAGAGCAGAACCAGAAGCGCCATGACTGAGGGCAGGAGGTGGGGTCAGGCGGCCAGGACAGCCCAGAGCAGCCCTGACTGGGGCTTATGGCGCCTCCCCTGTGGGCACGGCAGCAGCCGGCCTCACCCTACGTTCAAGGACCAGAGACACCCGGCCCACATGCTGATCTTCCAGTGCCCAGCAGGGAAAGGGGCTCGCAGTGGAGAGTGGCCCCACAGCTGCACTCTGCAGACAAGCTCCTTAGACAGGTGCCCGTCGAGAGGGCAGCTGAGGGGGCTCGGGGGGAGCCTGGGGCAGTGCTGGGGAGAGGCCGACAGCGGGTGGCATCAGAGCTGCAAAGCTGGATCTCGAGTACCCAACTATGGGTGACTTCGTAA